TTATACCGATAGATCTGTAGAATCCGGGGATATCAGAGGCAAGGATCAGGTGCCATTCGATCGATGACGATTCTCCCAAATCGCATGTTCTTCGAAAACGCTAGCGGTTGTACACTCTCGTTCGCTGCGGTTTATGCGGCGTGTCAGGGGGGGGAGGGGGGAGAAGGATGGGTTTAGCGTGCAGGCCTACCCGTTTTTCTTTCCTTTTTTTTCTTCCTAGCAAACGGTAAGACTGTATAATATCGACTGTAACAATCGCTTTTGCCAAGTGTTGCCGCCTACCTTCCTCAATGAGTGGTAAGAACACGCTGGCGGCGCGCCACACCCAGCCTCGCTGACACGCCCATTATCCGCAGCAGACAGCACTGTAGTCAATCCATTCCCCTTCAAATCCTCTTTCGACGCTTCCCCCCAAACACATGTTCTCTACATTCAGGAATTATGGTGGGGGATTAAAAGTATGTTTGGATATATTTTTTAAGTGGTGCCCAAATAACCTTGGTGTAGATCAACCTGTCAGGTTTTTCAATGCATGACTTTGCCGTTTTTTCTTTTCACTTTTTCAATGCAAAACTTTGTCTTTATTTTCTTTTTCTGTCAGAAACGGAGGATAACAGGGGTAACACCCTGTTACTCCTCTAAAATTCGCCATTTCTCCAACGTTGATCCGTCATTTTGATATTTCTGACAGGAGTTTACGGGGTGCTTGGGAGCTGATAACAAGTTTACGGGGCTTGGCAATGTTATTCGGTATTCACAAGTATACAGTTGTACAGGATTCGCTATGCTGAAAAGCGCTTACAGCTGTGGCCCATCTACTAGCGCCTACTGAAGTTTACAAATTTTCAGAAGTTCGCTTGAATTTCCAAACATGTACCTTTGACACTTCGCTGTTGAACAAAAAAAAGTCGCTCAATATTGTGAGAAACGCTGTTGCCAAAGGTCAGGTGAACCTTCGAATTACGTTTTGAAACCTACATTATCGTTCCGATCGTATCGAGGTAGTTTTTCGATTTTACCAAGCGCTCCAATTGCCACTTGCGGTGGGAAAATAACTGGACTGACATAGGTTCCACCAATCTAGATTAGATTAAATACATACATAGAGCGCCAAAAACATATATTACGAATTATAACAAAAAAAATGGTTAAAATGTTACCGTTCCAATGTTACTGAGGGTGAAAGTGCCGCCACTCAAATCTTCCCGAGCAATTCGCTCCCGCTTGCCGTCTTCCTGCAGTCGCTGTAGTTCGGCGGCAATTTCCAGTATAGATCTACAACCAAGTTTTCAAAAATTACTGCTGTTTTGATCCGCTAACTATAAGTGTCCCCTCCCACTGTTTTTGTCCGTATGGAAACTCGAATTTTTTAATCTTACTATTTGTCTGTATGCTTATCCGGAATTCGTAGACAATGAACTTCGAATGGCAAAGGTGAAGTTCATAAGCGCTCAGTAGAGCACAACGTCATGTGCGCTGGGCAAACTTGAAATGAATACTAATACGCATACAAAAGGCTGGGTATGCCGTCAGGGCCGGATCAGGGAAAGAAATTCTGGCCAAGTTCCTATTCGTTTGAAAATTAGTCTAATCATATGGAAAATCGATATAAGTAAAAAAATGCCTAAAGTGAACGGGCACTCCTGAAACAGACGCAATCCGCCGGCAATGGGAGGATACCTCTTGTGGCCAGAG